ATGCTGACCTTCTCAACTGGTTATATGTATATATATATATATATATATATATATATATATATATATATATATATATATATATATATATATACATCCAGGGTATATCACGGCAACGTTTTTGAACTGCAGTGTTACCAACACTGGAGTAGTGACTTTAAGAGCCAACCTGGATACTAAACTTATCACTGTTGGTATTAGATATCCCATATTTGCGTTAACATTGCTGATCAGGGCAACGTATGCGATCTCACATATTTGATATGTGTCTCATGGCAAACGGAAATGTAGCTAGGCTATTCAAATACATTAGAATAAATGTATCGAAATACTAGTTCATACATAGTCTTATGTCTTTGGAATAACTTAACAACATGCCACTTACTTTCATTCTTGATATATAATAAATAAAGTGTCAACCACTATGGCTAGGTAATTCCCTTTTCTAGTCACATTAGCGAAATGCGATCTCATGATAAGTGGCTCATATGTAGTAGCCAGGATAACTTTAACAAACGACAACAACAACTGTGCCTAACAATTCAATTTTAGATTTTCGCGTCGACTGATCCGAGCGAAGTGCTCAGTCTCAGAGTGACATCTTGGCTTCTTGTGCAGATGCTTCGACGATGTCTGGAAATGTAATTAGAATTTAATTGATGGATTGTGAGTAGCAGTGGAATCCAGGATGCGCATTTCGTCCTATTTGGAACTCGTCATCTGGATACACCTGCATTCTTCAGTGAGTAATGATGTCCTTATTGAGGCTCGAACCCAGTGACCATAGTTTCAAACGATAAAGCGTTTGAACTTCTAGTTACATAACCAGACATCATCGAAGCATCTGCACAAGAAGCCTACATTTTAACATGACACCACGCACTTAGGCCCAATCAATCGACCGGAAAATCTAAAATTCAATTGAAATAATTAATATGACCCGTTGCACAAGAGGTGGCACTCGTGACCCAAGTGTTCTAGTGGACAACGCTTTGGTGTTTGAAGCCATGGGCACTGTATTCGAGCCCAGGTGGGAACATCATCACTCACTGCGGAATCCATGGTAAGTTTATCAACTAGGATGGGCATTAGAATCGCTACAGCATTGTGAATGACATTAAACGACATGTCACTAACCATTCAAAAGATACAGGATTATGAGAGAACCAGTATTTGGACACATTTATTCTAATGCATTTGAATAACCTAGCAACATGCCGGTTCTCCACTGGCGGTAACATTGTTACTGATACGGTTGTCCACACATATACTGTATATATAAAGCCAGTCGAGTAGGTCAGTATTGAGGCTAGTATATTTCTCCCCGACTCACATGATCAAAGTATGAGCGTTTGATTGAAGTGCTTGGCTAGAGTTAAAACGTTGATGATGAATCTAACATATAGGAAATGCTCAGAGAAGGTCAGGAAACGCTAGATTCACTTCATTCTACCTTCCTAAACATGTCTCACTTTTATCCTATCCTCAACACACACAATTCTCAGTTGATATTCAACGTCACACTATCAAACCTTCATTTTGTTGAAATTGAGATTATTCAAAACACCTACACATTCAAACAATGTACATTTCGTTAGTCAATTGACACACACAATTTTAGGGTTAGTAGCCTTGATATTTTTATATATATGCGCAGATAGATAGGTGGTTAGGGTGACCTGTGGTTGTAATAATCCATTGGAAAATGAATGGGTGTTTAACACGCACACCAGTGTGTGTGTGTATTATAACACTCACTGATCAATAGTATTATTTCAATTCAATAATCCTTATCAAACACACGCGTTTATTCATCATTGGCAGTGATGAGCGTGGCATAGACACACCACATTTAGTAAAAACAGACATAAATAACATAGATGATAATGAGAGGTGTGTAGGTAAGACACACGTGTAAAAGAATAATTTCGATACAACTCTTTGATTTAAGATTGTGAATGTGTAAACTGTGGTTATATTCAAAAATGATCTTTAGAATAGACGAAGAAAAAAACACAAAGAACCAAGATACTACTACTACTACTTTTCTTCGCATTTCTGTTTATCATCCAGTCAGTATACACATAAGAAATAGCTAAAAATAGACACAGTCATAAGAAGTAGAGATGGTGAGCGTTTAATTCTAGAGCATACATATTTGTTACGTAGGTCTCTCTCTCTATCTCTCTTAACTGACTTACCTACTACTGGATATTGATTTTTTGTTTTAGCACATTTATTAGCCAATCAGATAACAGTATTTTAGGCGTTCTAAAATATTATGCACATTGATTCTTTGATGAATAAGGATGATATTATTACACCCTGTGAATACTTTACTTTTATACAAGAATCATCCAATTAACTTTGAAGATTTGATAATGTTATGTGTAGGCACAACGAAGTCCTAAACATGCAAACGTTAATAGTAATAGTAATAATAGTATAGGATTGGTGATCTGTTTCACTAATTAGACATTAACTAATGTAAAATAAAATTTAAAGTAACAAAACTCTCTTTGTGTAGTGTTAGTGAATAACTGACTCTCTGTTTTTTATGATGAAAGAATGCGTTGTAAACTACACATTATTCATTAATTACATTAATTTCTGGTATGCAGGTAAACTGTGTAATAGTAACACAAGAATTTCTTGATACACACCAAATTAGATGCATAGAAAAAAAATAAAATAAACACGCGTGTTGATGCTTCATACAGTTCACATTGTGAAGGTATAATCTCAGCATTTTTCTGTCAGTAATAATCATTGAAAAAAAATGTAGTGTCAGTAGTGCTACAACACATGGATGACGCGATAAAGACCTTATTTGATGACTGACTAGATAATGGTGTGATAACGTCCTCACACCCTTGCATTACCACACGACTGCATATATATGAATTAAGCTGTAATTTAGTATGAGCACATGGACTATGTAAGCTAATTTTATACTGAAAATATAACTCCTATCAAAGGCAGCAAGTCATTTGATTACCATAGGACCTAAAGATTCATCAAGAACTGACATGAGTTAGAGAACTTTTGGAAACCAGGGAGTATTGGACAGCTGCTTCGTCCTTATTTGCGACTCTTCATCGGTATGCACCCATGAATCCACCAAAGATCGAAACGAAAATCTTCAGGTTACACGGTGAGTCCATAGACCATTCAGCCACTAGCAGACGGAATACAATGAATCATCAATTCTTCAATCATAAAGTAAGAGACTGTAATAATACGACTCTACTCATAACAGAACTAAATCAACTGAACAATGAAGAGCGTGACAATGTGATGTGTAGTGCAGTTTCTAAAGCTATACAGCCCCAATCAATATTCTCCAACGAAATGAACAAAACAATCTGTTATCACAACAAACGTGTTATCACCAGAAGCTGTGTGAAACTAAACGTCAGTTACCTCATATATTAAGAAATCTACATCTAAATCATATAACCCAAAAACTATATTCAGTATATTGTAGATAATAGTTCCTAAGGCTATGGATTGTGCGAATCAGTACTTCGATGGAAGAATGCTCACCAACCCCGCCTCACATGGTCCAGCTTCACTTTTTTATTTTGATTACAGCTTGATGTCCCTGCAGGTCCTACCATGTCGGGAAGGTTGTTTGCATAGCGGTTCAACTGAAAGCAGTTACCATGGGGTATATATGCTCCAGTGTCCAATCGGATCAAATGGCGTATGAAGCCATATAGGTCAGCGGGAATCATGGGAATGCAGCTCCTGACGCTGCTCCGCTGCCTTGCGGATGTGACTCCAAGTCAAAGGCTCGGGGGGTGGTCCCTTAATAAAACCACCTGTTCCGGTCTGAGCGCCCGGGCAGTATCTCAGCCTTCACACAATGAATCGAATAAAGCAACAAACAACCAATGAAACTTATCGCGTGCTATTACACGTGTTGCAGTTTCCTTCTTTCTTCCCTTCCCGATGATAGTTAACGAATACTGTTTGAACTTGTTAAGCGTGACTGTTTTCCTTCCAGATGAAGTTCTTTATCCGTTCTCTACTTATATATATTTTTCTCTTCCTTCTTTTTTTCTTTTCATCTATGTTGTTTTCTTATTATTGTGTGGTGCATCCATCTTGGTGCCATATTGTACCAAGTTTTTGTGCGTTTAAATAAATAAATAACCATAGATATCGGGTGTCCGTCGGCAGGGGATCGAACCCCGGACCACGTGCATGGTCGGCGAGAGTCCTAACCACTGTGCCACCGACCGACGCAGTCCTAAACCTCGCTTGGCTGGGGTAGTAAGCCCAGTAAAGACAGAAGGTTAGATGTGGAAGCTAGGGATTCTACCCTGTAAAGAAATACACACCACCGCTACCGAAACTTCGAAGCTCAGGCGTGAAGCTGTATACGTTCCACTTGGAATTCAAATCAATGGAAATAGGCTCTGAAAAGCAGATTGCACTTTACGCAAAATAATCTCTAGAAATTTTTTCAAGCACGACAATATTTTGATTAAGTTTGATGATAATTCTAGATCTATAAACCGAGAATATTAGGACCATTTCTGCTGGAATATTCCTATTAGAGTATAACAGTTAAGACAGCATAACTCACTTACTTTATGCACCGACAAGGAAATCAAATCAAAACAAACAAGCTAGTAATAACGCGTGTTTAGCTTATATAAATTGATTGTCTCATATTAATAGTAGTAATAATTTATACAAAAAAATATGATATTAGTGGTAGTAAGAAATAAATAAGCAAATTGTGTAGGACAAGGAAAAGAAAATATTTTCCAAATATCAAACCAACACACACACACACATACAAACATACACACACAAATGAAAGATGAACAATGCAAAATTACAAAACTAAGTGGATTTGCGTGGTCAATTGTTTACACTACAAAAAATAAAAAAAGAAATAACAAAAATACAAAGGAATGATATGACAAAAGTGTTTCTAAGAAAGAAGGTAAAAAGAATAAGAGAGACTGCCTGACGAATTGACTACTACTCTAAGAATTGACACTAGTACATGGTGGATGAGTCGGGGAATATGTCTGAGTCTGTGGTTCTTGTTTCTCAGGAGTTGTTGACTCAAGAAGACAAATCTTAAGTTTTATATCATTTTCATCGATGTCGTTTGTAATTTTCGATATATCATTATTATTATTATTATTATTACCACTATTACCATTGTTGTGAGTATTCTCCATGGAGTTATGGCATAATATTTGTACTTGTTCGGCACTACCTTTATCATCATGTTTTTGGATTTGATCTAAATAATCCAGACATTCAGCTGAACTTAATTTGACAGTAAGATTTGTACGTGGATCACAACCGGGATGTGTTAATTCAATATGACGAACAAGATGATCTTTACGATAATAAGATTTATCACAGATCTTACAAACAAACGGTTTAAATCCAACATGACGTAGGGAATGACGTTGAAGATTTGAGCGTTGAGTAAATTGTGCTCCGCATATAGTACATTTAAAAGCTTTATGAACTGAAAAAGTATGATCACATAGTAAACTTAATGAATTAAACGGTTTTCGACATTGATTGCATACAAATGATTTAGCATATCGTCGACTAAGGGAATTTGATTCTTCTGAAGAGTTAGACGATTCTTTGGTGGAAGATTTTGGAAGTGAATTAGATGAGATAGTATTGTTAGTGGTAGTAGTAGTAGTAGTTATAGTAGTATTTTTTAATGGGGATGAAACTAGTGTTTGTAAGTTGTAATTATTAACAGGACGTGTAGGAGGTTGTTTATCAGAACATATTCGAGGTAATATAGGACGTGGTACAGTCGATAAGACAGTAACAGGTAATGAGAAAACACTAACATGAGGAAGTAGCGTAACAGCGGATACCGGCAAAAACAAACCATTTGTTGTCCCACTTTTGATTGGTGTTATGGCTTCAGTAATTTGTTTTTGAAGTGGAACAGGAAGTGTATTCGTTGATGTGCTGTGGTTGTTGCTGTTGTTATTGTCACTATTATTAAGTGTACTAGGGGAAGATTCGATGGGTTCAGAAATGATTGGAGTATTCTGAGGTATTTTACATGGTCGACTAAGTTTCCGTTTACGTCGTGGAATTGAAGTGTTATCATCTTTAAAAATCTCCTGGTCTGTTTTAATTGGTGAATTTGGAGCTGTAGATGTATCCATAATTCCTGAATCGGATAAATCATGGTTAGGACTATCATTTTCAAATGATTGATTATTTGATTTTTCATATGTTTGATTAACAAGTAAACATTTCATCTTTTCATGATCAGCTTGATAAGCAACTAAGGCTTGAAGTTTTAATGACTTGGAAAATGGTGGAAGAACACGTTCAACCAAGAGTTTTGTAAGCTTTCTCTCTTCAGCAGTAGGTTCACGTTTATGAACAGATGTTGATGTGCTTGTTTGATTTATCAAAGGTGATAGATCTTCATCTGATAAATCCATTTCTTAATTAAAATATACAATATTTAACTGAAAGTAGAAAACACAATGTGAATACTACCATTAAGCAAAATGATCCCACGTAGTTAGATGTCATTTATCCAGATTTCACATTAGCAAAAGTGAGCAGACATAATAATATGCACGAAAATAAAATGATCCGAATTTATAAAACCAAGTTAGGCCCCAACTATTGTGTTCCCCATTATCATATCATATAGAATTAGTTTCAAACAATCCGGTAATATAAGTGCCTATTAATTCCTTGCCGGAAAATGTCAGCATTTAACAGAGCTTACCTTGTGAGCAGAAGGTCCTGGGTTCGAACCCCAGTGGGTGTGTACTGCCGATGTTTCTCAAACTAGGAAGAAACATCTGTCCAGTACTCCTTGGTTTTCAATAGTTCTTTATCTGATATCATTCCGTGGTCAAACTCGAAAAATAAATCGAATCCTTACAAGTCAATTCTTTGAAAATTTAACAAGATGATTAAATAAGATGACTAGTTGACTGTCTTATTTTCTTGAATTCTCTAATAATTACTGAAGTGAACATTTGTTTTAAAGACGTAACATTCTTTTAATCAAAAAAGGGGTAAAATACATGCAGACAGTAACCGTTCGGTCGACACACATGAATTAAAAACACATGTTAAAGTCACTGTGTTGTAAACAGCATAAAGTGTACACTTGATGTTTCTCTGCTTTAAATTTTATTCATCCATTCACACACCTTATGGATACTAAAGTAAGCAGCACTAGTCATCATTATGAACAAGATATCTATCGTTGAAACAAACAGAAGATAATGGAAATGGACTGGACACACTCAAATGAGACTGTTGAGTGGCATCATATATTAGGTAAGCCCTCGAGTGGAAACGGATTGGAAACCAATGAATTGAACATCTGAGAGTAACATGGAGGAGGACGTGTGAAGAGGAAACGAAGGCTTACGGGCGATGGTGTAGTGGGCTAACGAAGACTGCAGAGGAAAGAATGAGAAAACTGGGATGTGCTACTGAAGCCCTATGTTCCATTCGGAATCCAAGAGAATAATAATAGTATGAACAGGATGAGATGTACGGCTTTACAAAATTGTTTTAACATGTAGTCTAAATCAATAATGCTAGTTCACTTCCATTCAAATAATTGTAGAAATCTTAATTTATCATTGTGAAGAAATTATTGATGTGAAAAATAGTAACGCAGTTTTTATTGGTACAAACGAAAATGATGGAGGTTAACTAGAACTCTAAAGTTATATCAAATATTGCTAATGTGTTGGAGGCACAACAAAAGATTTATTATAATTTAGAAACATCAAAATCGGTGTTTAATGTTCATAGCAAAATCATTAACGAGGAATAATAGATCGCATTATTCTGTACATTTTGCACATTTACGCGAATGACTCACCATATTTACGAGTTAATTTACTTTATATTGTTGCTCAGCTGAACATATTGATTTTTATACGTCTATTAGGATTGTAAATTGTGACTTAGACATACTGAAGTGGTGACACAATGATTCATTACTTCAAAAATAGTATATTTACAGAATTATTTAAGTGTAAAAAGAAAGCCTATAAGAGAATTTTACTTGATAAAACACATTGATACAGAATCTTTTCTTTACTGATGACTATTCAAGCATAAATTTATTGCTCATAATCACCATATTAGGGTGTCTACATAACTTTCAAAACTTGTCTACATACTTCCATTATTTCTTATCTACTGACTTAGTTTAATTGAATTTTTAATTTTCCCATCGATTGATTGGACCGAAGTGCTCGGTCTCAGGTTGACTTCTTGTGCAGATGCTTCGACCATGTCTGGGTATTTAATTAGTATACAATCGGTGGATGGTGACTAGCAGTGGAATCCAGGATGTGCATTTAAATACTAAATGCCCAGACATCGTCGAAGCATCTGCACGAGAAGCCGACATGTCCACCTGAGACCGAGCACTTCGGTCCAATAAATCGAAGGGAAAATCAAAAATTAAATTAATATGACCCATTTCACAAAAGGTAGCTCTCGTGGCCCAAGTGGTCTAGTGGATAACACTTTGTCATTTGAAACTATGGGCACTGGATTCGAGCCTCGGTGGGAACATCATCGCTCACTAAGAAATGCAGGTACATCCAGATGACGAATCCCAAATAGGACGAAATGCGCATCCTGGATTCCACTGCTAGTCACCATCCACCAATTAAACACTTAGTTGGTTGTAATATTTTCCATATCTGAGGTATTTGCGTCGCGTCATTCCTATTTCATGTGATACGTATATATTCGATGGACAAAGATTCTGGTGACCAACCTCTTCTTCCATTTATTTACATTCCTTTTTAGAACTATGACTCCGCCTACCCAATTGTGTGACTGGGATTGCTGAGTATTCCTCGAGGTTATTCAACTTCCTGTAAATGATTGACTAGGACTGTACTCAAAATGACGTCAGTAAATAAACAATACTGTGTCACTGTGTTTTGTCATATAAAATTATTTTATGGTGGAATTATATTCTGCCACAGTGTCGGGAAAGCAAGACAAGCTTTCATTACTCTCAAATCTGTGTGGAGGTCAACAGCACTCAGCATCAAAAATAAGATCCGGATTTTCAACTCCAATGTAAAGTCAGTGCTACTATACGGATCAGAGACTTGACCAGCTCGTCGTAAAGAGCATCTCAAACAAAATTCAGACCTTTATTAACAGCTGTCTTCGCTCAATACTCAAGATCAGATGGCCAGAAAAGATCAGCAACGAAGATCTCTGGGAGCGAACCAATCAGGAACCGATTGTGAGACAAATAGGCAGGAAGAAATGGAGATGGATTGCCCATACACTGAGGAAACCATCAAGTGGCATCACTAGACAAGCCAGTGCCCGAGTGGAACCCGAAAGGGAAGCGGCGAGTTGGTCGTCCAAGGGTGACTTGGAGGAGGTCATGCGAGAAGGAGATGAAAGCATAAGGACAGACCTAGAGCGGGGTGAAAAATTTGTCAGAAAACAGAAGGCAATGGAGGTGCGCATCTGAAGCCCTATGTTCCTCTAGGAACTAAAGGACACAATAATAATAATAAATCACCACACTAGTCTTCGTCAGTAATGCTAAATATTACTAGGGTTGACATCTTCTACTAATCGATGGACACTAAACATAGATGTGTGAAAAAGATGTACGGGTCAATGTAGGTCCTTAAACAGATGTGCGGCAGCTTAAGCTGACATATTTCCCACTAGTAAAGAACAAGTGACATGAAATAGAATAATATGCAAATACACACAGTAAGTAAAAATAAGTTAGAGAAAACTTGTAAAGAGGCTGTGAAACCTTTGAAGTTGGCCGAGTTTATTGATGTCCACTGGTGTTATAGGCTTTAAATCACTTCATTATGTTTTTGCCAGTACTCAATTTCAAGGATGGAAAGTCAGATTGGTTCAGACAACACTCGTGAACTTCATTAACTGAATTCATATCTGTGTGGTCACCGTAAGTTTTTTCCAAGTTTAATTCTACTTTAATTAATATTCCTCGCCAAGGGGGTTAGTAGATCTCTATGTTCAACTGGCATATTAGGCATTGGGTTTCCTTCCTTGTTTAGGGGAAAATCTAATCCAAACATTGTATATGCACTATCCTCCATCTATTTCATATTTAATGGCTATCTTATAGAAGTATTACAGGGTATGAAATACTGGTGAATACATTTATTATTTGGTTATCAGTTGGACATTCCATGGAGCCCATAAATGAAGTAAAGCGACAAAGATCAGACAGAAACTTTTATTTATGATCCAGACATTCAACACATCAGTTTACTGTCGTTCCAAGCTCACAGCATCGAATGAGATTTAACAGATCTGAGGAGGTATAGACTCTCTATAAAACTATTAAATAAAATTCTGAAAACTAAATTAGCTTGTGATATATACAGTCTTCGTTTGATTCTGCAGACAATATCTGTCAACAAGGGCAAAGTGATCATTTAGAATGATGGAGACAATGTCTTGTAAAAGTTTGCCACATAAGAAATTATATTTATACTGAACTATCTTATCATAAATCACACGCAAAGTTAAATACACCTGTGAGCTCATCGTCAGGTGACAAAGTGTAGACCAAAAATTATAATAAGAGAAATATAAACATCATATCAATTAAAATTATTCATAGTAGTTAAAGAAATACAACGAATAACTTACTGATAAATCAAGGGGTATGTTCCTGTAAGGACAAGATATGTCCGCTTAGCAATAAACTCTCAGGATGCTCCGTTAACCACCAAGTATGCTCTAAGAGAGAAAGGCAACTAGCAACTCCGTCTCACTAGCACCAAGGGATAGATAGCATACTTAGTCAATCAATATGATCTATAACTTTTAAGTCTGTGCCCACGCAGGGTTTAAATCGATCATTCCGTTTGTCTAAAAAGACACATTGAGATTGGGCGCAAGCGTTTTGTGCTGTCCAATCAGAAAAAAGCTATGGCAAGCCTAGCCCTGAGGTCAGGTATATTTACTAGAATATTATTGGTGGGCTGGTCAGGCGGGATGTTAAGCTGCACCAATCATAAACTCCGTCTGTCTGTGCTTTCACCAAATGCGTTAAACATTTCACACAGCCTCTAATTCATATGTTATTATTTGGGTTACAACATATATCTGTTTTTCCTCTTGATTTCTGGTATATTCTCATATTAGATATTATGGATTTTGACGTAGTACATATAAATGACCAGTTAAATCACATTGTACATATTTGTTTGTATAAGTATGAAATATAGGATTCTACTCCATAGACTTAATTTCCATAAAAAGCACACCTGGTTTTCCATGTACATATTTCTGTGTTTTGATTAATTCAGCCATCCATTAAGGGGGAACAGGTTAGCGTTCTCTTTTCATATACCGAAGTGTTTACACTGTATATCGCACATAACTAGAAAAAACCAAATTACCTATTTCTAGCAGTAAGCATTCATTCAAA